GGCTCTTTGGCCATGTTCTGAAGGTTGTTCTTCCTGACGTTTCGCCAGTCTCTGTGGCCGGCATCTTCAGAGGCTGCTGTCGTCTGAAGATGCTGGCTACAGAGACTGGCGAAACGTCAGGAAGAACAACCTTCAGAACATGGCCAAAGAGCCCGAAAAACCCAGAACAACCAATATACAGTATCACTATACACTTCAGAATTCATCCGGATGCTTCTGTCGCATAATCAATAAACACTAGCGACCCAGTGCGATTGGAAGCCATGCATGCCCATGCCATCACATTGCCTCCACTGGGTTTTACAGATAATGTGGTATGCTTCAGATCATGAGCCATTCCAAGCCTTCTCCATACTTTCTATTTCCCATCATTCTGTTACAAGTTGATCTTAGTTTCCTCTGTCCAAAGAATGCTGTTTCAAAACTGGGGTGGTTTTTAAAGATTTTATTGGCAAAGTCTAATTTGGCCTCTCTATTATTGAGGCTTATGAATGGTTTGCACCTCATGGTAAACCCTCTGCATTTGCTCTCGTGAAGTCTTCTCTTTATGGTAGACTTGGATAATGATATGCCTACCTCCTGGAGAATATTCTTCATTTGTCTGAATGTTGTGAAATGGTTTTGTTTTGTTTTGTTTACCATAAAAAAGATCCTATGATCATCCACCAATGTTTTCTTCTGTGGATGTCCAGGCGATTTTGTATTGCAGAGCTCACCAGTAAATTCTTTTTTTTTCTCTCAGAATGTACCAAACTGTTGATCTGGCCACTCCTAACATTCTTGCTATCTTTCTGATGGATTTCTTTCTTTCTTTCTTTCTTTTTCCTTTTCCTTTTTCTTTTTTTTTGGGGGGGGCGACGAAGGATGGCCTGTTTCACTTGAAAGCTCCTTTGAATACATGTTGTGGGCTCACAGCAACAGCTTCCAAATGTGAATGCCACACCTGGAATCAACTCCAGACCTTTTACCTCCTTAGTTGATGATGAAATATCAAAGGAACAGCTCAACTGTTTAATAAACAGCTTTTGCATCTATTGTCCAATGTTTTGGAACATTGAAAAACAGGAGGCTACATATTAAGGAGCTGTAATTCTTAAAGCCTTCCTCCAATTTGGATGTAAATGTGCCCTCAAATTGAAGCCCACATTCATTATTGAACTGTAACTTGAATTTATTTTGGTAAAGAGCTGAAATAACAAAACTTGTGTCAGTATCCAATTATTTCCAAACCTAACTGTACATCATAGTTATCACAGTGTAAATTCAAGAATGATGCATATTAGTATTACTCTGTAACACATCCAGCAATTAAAAATTTATGTAAATAATTTTTTGTTTTGTGTAATCATAGCACTTTTTCACATTTATGCACTGGTTTCATGCCCTTACACATGCAAAAAGTAGCATGCACAGAATTTATCCCATAATATGTCTTGGCAGCACATAAGCAACTTATTACAAACCTCAAACAGAAAACAAAAACAATAATAAAAACACAAATCAAATGACAAAGACAAATACTACTCAACAAAGCACAAAAATGACATGACAAACAATTGAATGAGCATCACAATGAAAGGGAAAAAAGAAAAACAACTTTTCTGAACAAACAGATGCAATTTTCTCCCCACCAACTTTTTTTCCAACCTGGGAGTTAAACAATTAATTTATCCCAGGGACATTATGGTAGTAATCAAACATGCCAGTCCAGAAAGTATCTTATTATTTAATCACTTTATGGTTTAAGATGCCATCATTACTATGTGACCATAAAAGTAATACAGTACTTCTTTTTAGTGCCTGAATAATATTTTCTATTGAGTGTTTCCAAAATTAAAAATAGCCAACCAAACCCATAGCTGTGGTTTTGTTTTTCTTTTCTGCACCTTAAGAAATGTTTGATTAAACGTCTTTTTTAAATTATTGATCTGTTTTAATGAGTGACAGAGCAAACAAAGACCAAATGAGAAGATTAAAATGCAGGCACCACAGAATCAGTACCTTTTCATTATGGCTATGCTCTTCATTTAGAGTTGTGCTACTACACGTGTCTACCCCAGAGTCTTTAATCTGAGGCTCAGACCATTCCAAGTCCTCTTCCAAAGAGTGGCCACCAAAACACACCATTTTCTTTTGTCTCTCAGATAAGGAGTTAGAGTCCGACAAAACTGCCTGCTCACTAGTTTTTCTTTTTCCCCTTTGACTGTCCCCTACAGGTGTGGGATAAAAAAGGGATACAAAAAGAAAACAAGCGAAGATGTAAATAAAACAAAGGAAGTGTGAAATGGTAAAGGAAACTGAATGGCAAGGCTCCACATGTCTCACCAAAGACATTGGGGATGCCTCACTGCTATGCCAAGACGTATGGTCCCAGTTGTAATCCATGTCTCCTGTGAGAATCAGACAGACAAGATAGTGTAGTAAAGGAAAAGTGAAAGAAAGGACAGACAAAGATATAATAGACTTCCATTTTGTTATCATTCTGCCTTTATTTTGATTCTATCATATACTGGGGGGGGGGGTTTCCAAGAGAATGATACGTACATATGAATTGTAGAAGACAGTGAGTGGGTGGGTATATATGTACTATATAAATATTATGTAAATTGAAGATTTAATATAATTAACATCACAAAAAAAATTAAGTACAGTATTATGATCCTGCACAGGTCAGAAACATTGTGAATTTAGGGGAAACCTAGACAGCAGATCCAAAAACATTGGAAGTGTTCAATTAATTGGTACATTTATGGCAACATGAGTATCTAATGATGTTTGCCTGTGGTATTAGATTAATAAATTGGAAATAAGCTCCACTGAAATCACTGGGACAAGGGAGAAGCGGGATGAAGCATACTACAATTAGACAACATAACAGCACTTTTATTTTATTGGTGCTAACTAAAGACCAATACAGCAGCTTTTTTGGAAGGTATTACCTGTGCTAATAAAACAAATTGAGCTTGCCTTCTTCAAAGGACCATTTAAGCAATTTTAAATAAACCATTTTGTCTCTAACAACTATAACGTATACATACAAATAACTATAATTAGGGGTTTAGAAATCTGAATAAATGACTTAGTGCCATTTGTAATATGCCTTTAATTCCTGACAGCTTCAAAGAAACCTCAGTATACCTGCAAGGTTTTATCTCTTATGGCTGTTCAAACAAACCTGAAAATATATAACAAGTTATTGCTAATGCCTTTATTAAAAATTTTTTATGTAACAACAGTGGTGTTGCAATGGTATTCAAGACTCATGGGAGCAACTCTTTTTTATTCTGTATAATTTCTTTTATATTCCACAACATGACCATGTAATGGTCACATACATTTCTAGATTTAGTCCATCCAGTAGACAGAACATTATGGTAACACACACATTTTTGCAACTAAAATCAGGGCAACAATTTGTGCGCATACATTTAAGAATTCTAACTGCTGTATGTGCTTCCAAAAACAAGCATTTTAAATTAACAGAAGTGGGATTTTATATGTATTTTAATGCAGATATCTAAACCCCTTAGCTAAATCAACACATTTAAATAATACTATGCTATGTCCTATGCTGCTATATTTTTTCAAAATGTCGACATACCTGCAAAAAAATGAGAAACTGTTTAAAAAGAGTACAAAACAGTCCTAGGATTAAATTATGTTAAAGCAGACATTATTATACATGCCAACAACTACTACACTGTTTTAATCCAAAACAACATTGAAGAACTAAGTAAAAAATATGCAACTATAATCAACGATCTGCAAAGAATATTCAGAAGAGACATTAGCACAATGCGATGTATTGTTTCTCATCTTATTTTTTTCTCCTCCCTTTAAATGATGCTCACTTTGTACATATACAAGAAAGCTAAGTAAGGGGGTTGGACATATCCACAACTAGCAGAAGGGACAAAGAGATAAAATAGGAAGGAGGAGAGGAAACACTTGGGTAATGTAACACTTCAAGAATAACAATACCGAATGGTCTGTATGGCTTCATTCATCTCTGCAGAAATCAAAATTTTCTACAATGTTCAGTATGACTATAGTCCTATATTTGAGGGGATTTAGCCATCTGGGGTACAAACATGATTTGTAAGAAAAACCTTCCAGCATAGAATGTTTTAGTTTAGTACTCTAGCCATGCTTGTTATGTCATGCGAGTAATTCAAGGTATGCCACTCTATTACACTTCCCACCACCAGACCCTCTCTTTCTTTGTTTTTCCTCCTCTCAACAATTAGCTAGAAATCTGAACATTGAGCATCACTGATACTAAATTAAGTGTATGCATTTGTGTCTAAAATTCTTTTGCATTTTTCCAAACCTTAATATACCATGCCCGCTAAGTGCCTCAGTCTATTATATGAGTGATGCCCTTTCAGCAACATAAGGATCCACACCCAAATAATTACTTTTAATTTGTAAGATAGTGCTAGCCACTTAACCTCTGCCATGCCCTTCAGTGCCCCAGGGCTGCATATAGGGTGGTCCAAGCCAGAAAGCTTCTGGCATATTAACTGATACTGGCATAAGGAATTAGCAATTGCCTGAGCATCAAATCTTTGGTTTGTGTTCCCACAAATATCCCGCAGCATTATACAGTGGTACAAAGTATCAGCTGCTTATTGCCAGCAGGGCTGGTGGAGGCTTCTGGGTTGGAAAGTCAGTATGTATCTTGGCTGTCCATCAGTTGTGAAGCAGCTGCACAGGAAATGCAGAGCACAAGAGCAAGCAAAAAACAGCAGTGGAGAAACCCAAGGGGTACAAGCAACGTGGTTGGCACACTGGTGGATTTAGCTACTAGAAATACATCATTTTATGACATAAGGGAAATAACCTTTTTGCCTTCTTCATTTAATTCTTTCTCTTCCTCCTCCCTCTCCCTGCTCCTCCTCTCTAGTTTAAATCAGGGTGCATGCTTAAAGGTCTGTACATGTGAAGGACTAAAATAACAGCATGTTGCAGTGCATCTAAATATTCTTTATTTTAAGAGATTGTGGCCATCTGTATATTTCACTAACCTGGACAAATAGATACAAAGTTATATATGAAACCCATGCAAGTTTTCAGTGCTATCCTTCTGAAGTAAAGTTTGTGTCATGCTTTTCCCCAACTATCTTCAATGCTTACACGCATATGAGCTCAATGCTCACATCCATCCAGGCTAACATAACTGTTTCCATCCCTAACTATTCCGAATGATTTATACAGTATCTATCAATCTGTTCTTCCCGCTATTTCTCTGATTTCCTCCACTCTCATATGCTCATTCTTCAATCTTCCTATTTTCTATTTATTTGTAAATGTTTCTGTCCTTCAGCTAATGTCCTCATCATATCCTCCGTTCATCTCCCTTTATTATAATTTGGCTATAATTAATCCAAAATTTTATTCTTTTTCAGATCTTCCATCCATCCTCATTCCTGCCTTGTTTTTTCACAGGTGCAACCAGATACAAAATATGTATCCTAAGATGTGGATTTTGATCCACAAAAGCTCACACTAGAACAAATCTGTTAAGTCTTTAGGATGCCACAAAATTTTGCCCTATGCTCTTCCCTTCTTCTTGTTTTGTTCTTGTTTCACTTTAGTCAACACTACTTTTGTTTATTTTCAAAATAAGATTTATACAGTTTAAAATAAATAAATACATAAAAGTTGCCTTATATTACCAGACTCTAAGAGTAGCTGATAACAACATAAGAAATGAAATAGGAGCCGAAGCTGTTTTACTGGCCCAAACCCTTATTGTTTATATATTTGTAATACTTGACTGCAGATCATTCATCAATCTTTCCAAAAGGAAGAAAAATCTTCATGTGTGCACTGCAATCAAATGCTACAGCAGAACATCTTGAGTACACCAAGAGAAATCTGCTAACTACAATGCTGTAATGCTTTTCTTATTTGTTTTCAAACAGCAGATATTACTGTGTGCCTTGTGAATATGTAACTTCAAGCAAATTATACATTTAAGCATGGTTTTGCTGCCTCAGTAAAATATATCTGTTTATAAATATTTATGTTTGCTGAGTATGGTACAGAGTCACAGGATTTTGAAAAATAGAAAATCTCTGTTCCCTAGAGGGAGTATCATTCCACTGGTGTTCTATAATAGCAATTGTGTGCTATCAATTCCAATTTACAGCAACCCTTGCTTTTGTACTTATGGGTATATTCCTGCAGAGAGCCATCCCTTCAGAATCTTCTAGAATAGAAGGATATGATGAGTGCTAGCAGTAGCCTCATTCCTTATCTACTACAGAGGTGTTAGGCAGAGGTTTGTTTCCTAGTTGATAAGCCAGTATGAGTGTTTTCTCAACCTACTTGGTAAGATCTTTGAGTAGCAATCACTTGCCCTTTCTTAGGTCCTGAATATGTGAGGGAAAGTAGAGAGGCCTGTCTGAAGGGAGCTGTTCCCTGGAGTTAAAATAAGCTAACATTCTTCTCATGTCTAATGTGTATAAAGCTGTATCTACTGAGGGAAATAAGAAAAATATCAGACAACACAGCCTCTTGGACAAGGTAGATTAGAGATTAGATACTAATTTGGGCAGAAACGTTATGTTTGGTATCAATGAATGAAAGGCTATTCTGTTTTATAAGCCCTGAAAGGCCATTTTGGAAGTGAGAAGCTCCAAGGCAATAGTGGCCAATGGCTCAAAATTAGGCTCCACAAGCTGTGTCAACACTTGTGCGAGTGGTTCGTGGTGTCAAATTATAATGAACTGCTATTCCTTGCCTTAGTGACAATGGTGTGATGAACAATGTTTGAACTGAACAGGTCAGATGCATCTATGGTAACAGCACAAATATCTCAAATGGTACTGCTAAAAGAGGACTTTCACATTCCCAGCACTTTCAGTCTTCTGACCCTCTAGGTGAGCAATATGAGGATGTTATGATGGCTTGAAGTAAAGGACGACAGCCACCATTCTCTACTGAAGTTATTGCACACATTGCCAACTGGTACAGAAATATTGATGTCATCTCTGATTTCATTTTCCTATATGGACTCTTGGAGCATCAAGTAGGTGAGGTTGGCAGCTGATGGAGATTGTGCCAGCTGCACTTGCAGGATGTCTGTGAAATGACCTGCACCTCTTTGATGCCAGGAGCTGCAGGCTTCAACTTTTTCTTTTTGGTCATTTTGGTCATAATCTCCTTCCACTTCTACTTTATCCTTTGGTATCAGCAAGAAGATCTTATCTAAGTCAATGTCAGAAGCTGTTGAGGTCTGTCTAGCTAGCTGATCTGATAGTGATGTGGCAGTGGCTGTCATGGCAGGAAAAACTGGTACCATGAAGACTTCCAGAACCAGGGAATTTTAGAAATGGAGGTCACTGAACCTGAGGAAGCATTTGGTGATAGTGCTTTTCCAAAA